TAATTGAAAAGACGGTGGATCAGTCCCGCAAGGATTGGTCCACCAAGCTCGATGATGCTCTCTGGGCGTATAGGACTGCCTATAAAAATCCGATTGGCACTTCTCCCTATAGGCTTGTCTATGGGAAGGCGTGCCATTTGCGGGTAGAGCTAGAGCACAAGGCCTTCTGGGCCATTAAGCTGCTAAACCTGGATTTGAGTATTGCAGGTACAGAACGTAAGTTGCAGCTGCTGGAGTTGGAGGAGTGGCGTTACCACACCTACGAGAACACCCTGCTCTACAAAGAGCGCACCAAGCATCTCCACGACGCGCGGTTGAGGGGCCCGAAGGAGTTTCAGGTAGGTGATCGTGTTCTGCTCTTCAATGCACGCCTGAAACTCTTTTCGGGCAAGCTCCGTTCGAGGTGGTCGGGACCCTTCACGGTCACCCAAGTTTTCCCGCACGGTGCGGTGGAGATCAGCAATGCTCAAACCGAGCCATTCAAGGTGAATGGCCACCTCCTCAAGTTGTATTTGGGAGGTGCTGTCGAGCGCGCAGAGCTGCTGATCAAGCTCGAGGACCCTTAATTACTCTATTGGCATCCAGCTAAAAGACGGTAAAGAAGCGCTTGTGGGGAGGCAACCCCACCGAGGTTTGCATTTTCTTACTTTTTTCCTTTTGTTTTTTGTGTTTTTTGAGTCTTGAGGTGTTGTTTTAGAGTTGAATGTCGTTTTTGAGTGAAAACAGGTTGAATTCAGGGCTCCAGCAGTTCACACGGCCAGGGCAGATTTTCTCATCTTTATGAGTATGACTACTCTGATTTCTGTTTTCCCCTCTCTCTCTCTATGGAGTATAACCCTTCTCTCACTTGGGTATGAAGAACCATAGTTCCATGTGTTAGGGATTCGATTGTAATGACTTGGGATGATTATATTGTTTGGTTTTAATCGATTGATGCATGTTTTATTGAATTGATTGAAGTCTGATCAGCTTTTCTTGATTTCTGTTGCAACCTGAGATAGAATCTGGTTAGGTTGTTAGAGCTTCTTCATTCGATAGTAGGAGATTGGTTATACGAGAGTTAGCCAGTTTACTGCTTTGTACTGGAATCCAATTCCAGTAGTGGAGTTCTGTGCTCATTGCTTCAGCTTTCTATTCCGGTGAAGACTAGTCGTCTGCCGGGTAGTTAGACTGAGAGGGCTTGGTCAGCTTTAGAGATTCCAAACTACTGTCAGATCTTCCGCAGTCTAATCAACAGTAAATCAACCCAAGGTAATTACAATTGAACCTAACTAAGGAGCTAGGGGGACTCATTCCCGAGTGACTCTTCTTTGCTTGAGAAAACCGAACCATTCCCTGCTTTTTACTACTTTTACTTTAAACAACAATCACTCGACTTAGTTGGCTAGATAATAGATAATCACAGAGTATGCAGTTGATCTAAACCCCGAGTTGATAATAGAAGTTGCCTGTTACTGCATTACCGAACTGCGATTACACTTGGTCGCAGTTTGGTGTTGTGTTTTGGCGTGTCAACAACCAATTCACCACTATCAATCAAGGGAGCTCTCTTAACCTAATCAGATTCTATCTATCATAGGTTAAAGCATAAATCAAGAGAATTTGATCAAGATTCAATTGACTCAATAAATCATGCCTCAATCGATTATAATCAAACAATATAGCATCCAAAACTTCATACAAGAAAGATCCTAACACATGGAACTAGGGTTCCTCAAAACCTAAGTGAAGGAAAGTTACTCCATAGAGAAGAGAGAGACTGCAGAAATCTGATCTAGATCTTCAATCTCCATCTCCAAGCTTGATTCCCGAGCTCCAATGGCAAAGAAATCCTCCAAAATAGCTCCAAGAATGTTCCCAAGTCGCTCTCTCTCTAGGGTTCGTCCCTTGGGTGTTTGGGAACCAAAAACCCAGCTCTCCCCTTTCCTTTTGCTGAAAATCGGGTTTTAACCAGAAATTCCCGATCACGCGGCCAGGCCACACGACCGTTTGGCTTTCCCAGCTGCCCGTGTTAAGGCTCGGTGATTTCCACACGGTCACATGGCCAGGTCACACGGTCGTGTGGGTTTTTAGGCTTGCCCGTGTGGCTTGCTCAGCCTCTGTTTAATGCTTCGTTTCTCCCTCGTCCGGACTCCGAATCAGTCGCCGTTTGATCCCAGACGCTCATAGTCTCGTCCTCTTTCTTTTCATGACAAAATTCCATGATTATTTGTCCATAATATGAGGTACAAGTCCATTATTCCTCAGGTCATGCTCGTGTTTCTTCTCCCGAATTGCCAAATGATCTCTGATTGACTTGAAACTTGCGCCTATGCTTCGATTTACATGCTAGGACCTGAAATGTGACAAAGGAACACAACCTAGCTTAAAATAGTCCAAGAAAGCAGAAACACAAGCCAAAATGATCAAGAAACGAGGGTGCAAACATGTGCAAATCCGATATTATCAAATTCCCCCACACTTAACCGTTTGCTTGTCCCCCCAAGCAAACCTAACTCAAACCAATGCAGCTCTCCAGACCTCTATAGCAACAAAAAAAACTCCGATCGTTGGTAGAGGATTTCCTAGATCATATAGCAGCTTACGAGGTCAACTGGTCTTCTAAGACGTCCCCTATCTCTCTCAATGCGAGTACTAGACTCAAGCCAAGATCATGAGAAGAAGTTGAAGTAAGACAGCCAGTTCATGGAAAAAGGGACTCACACCATTCACAACCAAGGACTCGTTGTACCTGGGTGCTCTTTCACTTCATTTCACCGTTGGAACCCCTTTTTGCACTTTCATTTATATTTCTTTTTCTCTTTTTTTCTTCATTCATTTAGCGGGGGTTCCAACTGCAGTCTTTTGCACGGGGCTTGTTCCTCGAGTTTCCAAGGAGAAGAAATCCTCCAATTCCACTCTTAGAATGCCCTCAAATCGCCCTCTCTCTCTCTTTGGTTCGTCTCTTGAGTGTTTGGGATCCAAAACCCAGCTCCCTCTCTCTTTTGGCTTCAATCTGCCTCAAAAACCCGATTCTGGGCAAAAAACGGTCGAAGACACGGCCGTGTTTTACTTTTGCCCGCCCGTGTTTTGCCCCCATCAGCCCTCGTCGTCCAAAACACGGTCGTGCCTAAAATATGGACACGGCCGTGTTTTTCTTTAGGCCAGCCCGTGTTTTTACTGCCGAACCTATTCCCCTATATTCAATTCTTCGTTTCTCCCTCGTCCGGACTCCGAATCAGTCGCCGTTTGATCCCAGACGCTCATAGTCTCGTCTTGTTTCTTTTCATGACAAACTTGCATGATTATTTGTCCATAAAGTGAGGTAGAAATCCATTCTTCTTCAGGTCATGCCCGAGTTTCTTCTCCCGAATCGCCAATTGATCTCTGATTGACTTGAAACTTGTGCCTATGCTTCACTTTATGTGCTAGGACCTGAAATATAACAAGGGAACACAACCTAGCGTAAAATAGGCCAAAGAAGCGATAATGCAAGCTTAAACGATAAAGAAACAAAGGGGAAAACATGTGCAAATATCGAGTCATCAGTCATGTTCAAATCTTTAGAAATAAAATGAATTGCCATTTAGATTCATTGTCAAATGAATTCCTGTGTTTGCTATGTCATATGTATAATTAATTTAATTAATAAAAGAGTATAATTATGTCATTCTATTATAATGGTCTGTTGGTAGCGGCTAAGTATGATCTGCCATCACAATGACTATAAAGAACATATAATATAAAATATGAATAAACATTCTAAACAATAAAAAGTAGTCAAAATGGATCTTGTTAGATTTATTTAATATTAAATAATATGATTTTATAATTTATTTTATTTTAAAAATTATATAAATAAAGGAAAGTTATATTTTCATAATAAAATTAAAATATGGTAAGGATAATCCTGCATTTTCAAAAAGCTTTTCGCTGAAGCTCCAAATCGGAGCTTCTGCTTTTATGTTATACAAAAGCGCTTTTTCGGCTTTTCAGAAGCCGAGCTTTTAGAGGTGTTTGGCAGTGCTTCAGCTTTTGAAGCCGAAAAACACTTCTAAAATCCGGACCAAACATAAGCAATTATTCATGGCTATTGTTTGTAGCTGTAAGAGGCAATTGTTGTAGTGCAATGAGATTTTTATTAATCAAAATAAATTTTGGGTATCAGATTGTAAAATACAAAAGTGGATGTACTAAACTTTAGTTTTCCAAATATCCGTGACTCTACCAATTAATTTGGATTTGGATTAAATGGATTAGATTTAAACGAATTTGAAGACTTGGATATTTAAATAGATGGATTGGATTAGATTGTGGATTCAATTCCAATCTCCATCCATACAACAACCACCAACCAACCGAGCGTACAGGTACATTTGAAAATTAATTAGACAGTACTAGTGGGCATATACTAAAACTAAAATTAAGAAGATTCTTAGTATAACTTAATTAAAATGATGGAATTATTAAGGAGATTTTCCGTTATTTAATGGTAATGGAAGTCGATGGGTCTTCTTTAATTTGTTTCGTTTTCGTGATGAATAATATGATTAGTTGATTGATTAAAAAGGAAATGAAGTCTTTGTTTCTAAACAATGACCAGCTTAACTGACCTTAGCTAATGGGTCACAGACTGGCGGCCAATAGGAATTTGAACAAACTTGGCAACCAAAATTTCAGTTTGTTGTGTTGTTAGTGAGCTGGGTGTGAATGACGATTAAACAATGACTAGCTACTAGTGGTATTATTAATTCAAGTCATGAAGAATTGTAATTCTATATGTGGAGTCTTTGTATAATAGTAATAATAATTATTATTATCATTATTGTTATTGTCATTATATCGGAGATCAAAGAGAAGCAAGCGTAGGGTTGACTTGGTGGTGCTAGTATATAAAGATAGCGATGATGGGGTGAATGAATCCAATCCAAACCCTACTATTCAATCAATTCTCAACAGAGCAGAGCAGAGTTAGTTATCCTCCCCAAGCCAACATGCCTGTTATAAGCAAACAATGTCGCATGGCAAAGTCCGCTAACGATGTGTGGGGAGCGATTTTTGCTGCCACAAATATTTACCCGGCCGCCATGCCTCTCCTGATTACAGGCATCCGAGTGACCAGCCGAGACGGTGTTACCGCCGGTTCGATCCGGGAGATCACTTTCGGAAATGGTACGTAGCTAGCAAGCCATATTTTTACTCATCATTTCAGTTAATAGCTATATATATGATGCATGCAATCAAACGTACGTTTTGCTGGGAATATAATTGTATGATGTCGTATGTTGCAGCCGTAGGACCTACGGTCACCCATGCAACCGAGCAGATTACCAGGGTCGACCATGGCACTCGAACCATCGAAACCACCTTTAACAATGATAGAAACTTCGTGGGCAAGCACTTTCGTTCTGCCTCCTTGGTCGTGAGGGTGGATCCGAACAACGCCGACGATGGCCCCAACTCTGCTGGTTCCACAATCTACTGGACTTTGACCCACTCATGGATTTCAACTACTGCATCAAACGGTTTCAATTTGGAGGGTTTTTGGACAGCTATAGAAGACGGATTCAGGGCGTTAGACACTTACAACTAGGCCCCGCCCCCACAATTAATGAAGATCCATCATCCACTACGCACGAAGACGCTTGGTTTTTCATTTGCTTTTCCGTCTACTCTTTTCTTTTTTATCCCTCAGCTCCCATGTTATATATATGCACGTCGGTTGGTGTGCAGTGCTCAATAATGATATGCCCAGCTGGACCACTCACTCTTGCTCGGTCTTATCTTTCCCTTTAATTTTCTTCTCCTGCTTGCTCCACCTCCCTGTTCTAATATTGTACCTTCCTGTCGTTACTAAATGTGTATTAATTCAATTGTCTCCTTGCATTTTATTTTCTCATGGAATAAATTATTAAATATTATTAGCACGCAATAAAGTACCGACGACACCCTTTCCCGCCCATTCAAGGAACACGTCGGTGGTGTTTAATTTGCAGATGACGATTATATACCTTAGAATTGACAAGGGGAATTATTGCGCCTTTTACAAATCCGATTTTCCAGTTTAAAGGAAAGATACTTGGGCCTCCCTACTTTGATCGGTTAGTAAAAAATGGATATGTCCCGTTTTTTGGAGGAGAAATTACTACAACGGTTGCAGGGATGGAACCAAAGGATATTTTCGTGGGCATTGAAGGAAACATTGATCAAGTCAGTAGCGTCCTCGCTTCCGCGCCATGTAATATAATGCTTCAACCTTCCGCTCTCCCTTTGTCGCATCTTGGATAAACATGTGGCAAGATTTTGGTGGAGGTTGAGGGAGCTAGGTCCCTCATTCGATGTATGTCCTGACGAAATTTGTGTCGGAACAAGCATGATGGGGGGGGGGGGGGGGGTTGGGGGTGTGCTTTCGAAGAATTGAGCATTTTAATCTGGCCCTTTTAGCCAAAATTGGGTGGAGAATCCTTAATGAACACGAGTCTCTCCTGGCTCAGGTCTATAAAGGAAAGTATTCCCCAACATGGTCTTGCTCACGCCTACAGCGCGTTCGCGTCCCTCATGAGGTTGGCAGAGTATCCTTTATGGTCGCCTCTTGCTCCAACAAGGGTTGTGCTGGCATATTAGCAACGGTCGTACAACATCCATTAAGAAATCCAACTGGGTTCCTAGGTTGCATCCGCATGCTCCCACCTACTACCCTTAGGTGATTTTGGAGGGAAGTGATTCGACAATAGAAGATCTAATGATTCCGAGGGAAGGAAGATGGAACGAGGCTATTATCAATCACTTGTTCCCACCTGAAACAACGCAAGCAATCAAAGCAATCCCGCTACCCCGTCAGGATATTGATGACTCACTAATCTGGCATGATACTGGTAATAGAGTGTTCACCGTTAAATCTGCCTATCAACTAGATATCATGATTGATCGTGTGCGAGAAAGGTAGTGGCAGCTGGCTAGTTGGATGGATAGATCAAGCTGTATTCGGATTTGCGAGCTCCCAATCTCACCAAAGTTTAAGATTTTTCTCTCGATAACTTTCAAATCGCATTCTCTGATATGAGGGGTGTTCAAATGGTTACCATGGTTATTACCAAACCAAATAAGGCTAAATTTCATTAATCATGGAATACAATATCATAACCAAACCGTCCAAACTAATACAACAACCAAATTAACCACACTAAAGTTTAATCGGTTTGGTTAATTGGTTAACCAGAATAATCAATATAAAATCATATTATCATTAAGTGAGAAAAATTTCGGTTAAGTTATCAATTCACAATTTATATAATGAATAAAACATAACAATCAACACATAGTTATATTTGACCCTTAACATAAATACATGCAACTAAGACAATTATCTTACGGTTAGTATAAAAGTAATCACTTAACAAAAATTTATCACAATGGTATGGGTTAATGAATTGTTGTGTTGGTTTGAATTGACTTAATCTTTTATCAATTTTCATAGGTTGAAAATGACCTTCCTTTCAAGTTTTCATCCAACATAATGTATGAGATTTATCTAAATTAGGCGTTCATATGTTGTGGTCTACACTCTACATATATAAATATACATTATAGGAACAATATCAAGCTTTATATTTTATGAGTCTAAAAGAATGAACGTTTAACTCTTGAGTGGTTATTCAAAGTATTATGTATGTGTATATATTAGATATATAGCTAATTATTTATCTGGTTAATTTGGTTTGGCTGGTTAGGAGTGTCTGAAACCAAACCAAACCACCTAAACCAAACAACGCAAAAAATTTAACCAAACCAAACCAATTATCCAAATTAACCAAACCAAATTATCCAAACAGTACTGGTTAAAACGGTTACCATGGTAACCACATCGTTTGAATATGATCCCAAATAGCCAACTCTACACGTTTAAATTACTTGACGAAGAAGCTATTGAAGTTGGAAAAAGAATTTGTTTAAGTATTGGACAAGTTTCAGGTAGCCTACTATGGAGGCTTGGTTCTCTCAATTGGCTCAAAAATTCGAGTTTGATAGCTTATTTTTAAGATAAGAATTTTATATACACGATGGTAGGCTTGGTTGCCGAAGAGGAAATCTAAAATGTCATTTTCCATACATCTAAAGATGCTATCTGGAAAGCTGAACACTGCCTAAAAATGCTTAAGGCAGAAAACATTTTTGTGAAGCCTACTTTGGAGCTCAATTCGAGGAGCATGGATCTGATTCGAGACCAAAGGCTTCCACACCATGAAACTAGGTTTGTATTTATACAAAGGAAAGGAATTGGGTGAAGGATTGGAGTTCTGGAAGGCCTCGAACGAAAGGCGCGAAGTTAGTACGACAACTGCTTTTGGACTATTTGCTGACAACTTACTTGTGCTAGAAAAAGGAGAATTATGGCCGAATTTTTTGATCTTTTTAGGGTTTGTTTTTACCTTAATTGTTTCCTAGTTATATTAGGTTTGTATTAGGTTTTTACTGTCTTTAAATAGCTTTCAATTTCGCGATGTAAAGCAGAAAAAGTTGAGTTGAATGAAAATTACTCCTACGTGAGTTTTTGAGTTGTGTCTCAAGAATAAAATCCTTGAGTTAGTTTTGTGTGGATTCAATGCTAATTCGAGAACCCTTGTCAAACTTTTCTGTGAGGATTCCAGATTCATTTAACAAGTTTCTTATCAATCAAGTAAACACCTAGATTGTAGCGAAATTCTACCTATCCATCATTTATCGCTCGACTGTTCTTTGGCTGCGTATTCTCATTAAAACAAAGCACCTTCTGGTGCTTTATCATTCTCCAAACAATGAAAGCTCATATCGAGAAGAAGGTCCAAGTGTTACCCCGATGCCCGGTATGCTGGGCGAAATAGGAAACAATGGAGCATATCTTTCTCGACTGCCTCGTGGCAAGGGCAGTTTAGAATCACGCTGGTCTAGAATATCTAGGCCATGGTCTCCCTCGTCAAAACTTTCTACTATTTTTCAAGAAGTTGATGCTACTGCTTAATCCACTCCATCAGAGTATGACTGTTGTGCGGCCCTCTGGAATATCTCAGACAAAATGATCTCAGCTCCCCCCATATACTTTCACTTGTATTTGTGATGGTGCAACAAGGAATGGATCACACTCGAAGGGAGGAATGGTTATAAAAAACCAGACTGGGCCGATTGTCTTAGCTTGGGGAGTTCATATTGAAAATTTTGATCACTCACTAATAGTAGAATTATTTGTCCTCCGCGAGAACATCCACTGGTATTTGGATTGTGGGCTCTTGCAGGTTCGTTTTGAAAGGAACGCTTAGGTGGTTATTGACAAGATAAACCATTTTAATAAACACGATACTCACTCTGGAGTTGTTCTTGAAGAAGTTCTTTGATTGTTGACAATCCGTAGTGGTCTTAATGTACGATTTGTAGGACGAAATAGCAATATAGTAGCCCATTTGGTGGCTAGAAAGACCATTTCTTTGTACCCGACTATGTATCATTCTTTTCATTTTCTGTTCTAGTTGCATACCAGGGTTTAATGTGTTCTATTTCATTTTTAATCATTACAGGATTATCTTTTGTAAAAAAAATAATCAAATATATTATTTCCCTCTCTAAAAAAGGTGAGCGGATGACAATGAACAATTTTTCCCCCAATTTAAGTTTTAATCGTTACAAGATTACCAGGGATGACCATGCGACTCAACCGTCGAATCCACATTTAACAATGATACGAACTTCATGGGTAGGAACTTTCGTTTAGCCTCCTTGATCGTAAAGGTGGATCTGAATAACGCCGACGATGGCCCCAACTCTGAAGGTTCCACAATTCACTGGACATTGACCTACTCATGGATTTCAGCTACTATACTAGGTGGTTTCAATTTGGATATTTTCTGGAATGCTATAGAACAAGGATTCATGGCTTTAGACACTTACACCTAGGCCTCGCACCCATAATAAATGAAGATCCATCATCCATTACGCACGACGACGCTTGGTGATTCATTTGCTTTTCCGTCTACTCTTTTCTTTGTTATGCCTCTCATGTTTTATATATCCACGTTGGTGTGCGGTGCTCAATAATGATATGTCCGGCTAGACCACTCTTGCTCGTCCTTATGTTTCCCTTTTCTTCTTGTTTTATTTTCTTCTCTTGCTCGCTCTAGCTTCCCTATTCTAATATTGTGCCTGTCCGCATTTCTGTCATTACTATGTTATGTGTATTAATTGTCTCCTTGTTTGAAGACTTGGATATTTAAGTAGATGGATTGGATTAGATTGTGGATTCAATTCCAATCTCCATCCATACAACAACCACCAACCAACCGAGCGTACAGGTACTTTTGAAAATTAATTAGACAGTACTAGTGGGCATATACTAAAACTAAAATTAAGAAGATTCTTAGTATAACTTAATTAAAATGATGGAATTATTAAGGAGATTTTCCGTTATTTAATGGTAATGGAAGTCGATGGGTCTTCTTTAATTTGTTTCGTTTTCATGATGAATAATATGATTAGTTGATTGATTAAAAAGGAAATGAAGTCTTTGTTTCTAAACAATGACCAGCTTAACTGGCCTTAGCTAATGGGTCACAGACTGGCGGCCAATAGGAATTTGAACAAACTTGGCAACCAAAATTTCAGTTTGTTGTGTTGTTAGTGAGCTGGGTGTGAATGACGATTAAACAATGACTAGCTACTAGTGGTATTATTAATTCAAGTCATGAAGAATTGTAATTCTATATGTGGAGTCTTTGTATAATAGTAATAATAATTATTATTATCATTATTGTTATTGTCATTATATCGGAGATCAAAGAGAAGCAAGCGTAGGGTTGACTTGGTGGTGCTAGTATATAAAGATAGCGATGATGGGGTGAATGAATCCAATCCAATCCCTACTATTCAATCAATTCTCAACAGAGCAGAGCAGAGCAGAGTTAGTTATCCTCCCCAAGCCAACATGCCTGTTATAAGCAAACAATGTCGCATGGCAAAGTCCGCTAACGATGTGTGGGGAGCGATTTTTGCTGCCACAAATATTTACCCGGCCGCCATGCCTCTCCTGATTACAGGCATCCGAGTGACCAGCCGAGACGGTGTTACCGCCGGTTCGATCCGGGAGATCACTTTCGGAAATGGTACGTAGCTAGCAAGCCATATTTTTACTCATCATTTCAGTTAATAGCTATATATATATATATGATGCATGCTATCAATCGTACGTTTTGCTTGGAATATAATTGTATGATGTCGTATGTTGCAGCCGTAGGACCTACGGTCACCCATGCAACCGAGCAGATTACCAGGGTCGACCATGGCACTCGAACCATCGAATCCACCTTTAACAATGATAGGAACTTCGTGGGCAAGCACTTTCGTTCTGCCTCCTTGGTCGTGAGGGTGGATCCGAACAACGCCGACGATGGCCCCAACTCTGCAGGTTCCACAATCTACTGGACTTTGACCCACTCATGGATTTCAACTACTGCATCAAACGGTTTCAATTTGGAGGGTTTTTGGACAGCTATAGAAGACGGATTCAGGGCGTTAGACACTTACAACTAGGCCCCGCCCCCACAATTAATGAAGATCCATCATCCACTACGCACGAAGACGCTCGGTTTTTCATTTGCTTTTCCGTCTACTCTTTTCTTTTTTATCCCTCAGCTCCCATGTTATATATATGTATTTTGAAAAGTTTGGCTAATAATTTGAAAATGTCATAAAAATTGGATAATAAATTGTATTTACTCTACATTTTTGTTTACAATATTCTAGTATTCGATTCAAATGCCACTCAATGCTCCGCTATGTCCTGAATCCGCCGTTGTTACTCAAAGTAATTTGTATCTTTGATTTACTTTAGTTGAGATATAAATCACCATATATATATACGGTGACTTCTATTGTACCTTGGGTAAAATCTAGGGTACGACATACCCTAAGTAAGAAAACACTATCTAGACCTCGAATGAACCGGATTTTTGGTCATGGTACTATACCCTAACCCTTGATGAGTGAACCCTAGGTCTTAGTTTTCTAAATCATAGAGTCTAATCTGTAAGTTTGTGCATGTAATTTGTTGCATATATTTTGACGAATCATAGTCGTCGATTTTTGTTTCTAATTAAATTGATCTTAGCATGTGAGATTTATAGAATTGGACCTAGATTTTAATCTTTAAAGGTTTAGGAATAATACTCGATGACAAACTCCGGTCAATTCAAAGTCTAGATAGCATTTTCTTACTCAGGTTAGGTTATGTCGTATCCTTGATTTTAGCTAAGGTACAATATAACCGTCCATATTATTATATTATATAAAGCCAAAGCTAGGTTACTGTTGCCTAAAAATATACTACTTTGATACCTCAAATTTTATTAAATTAAAACTTAGTTACTATAATATACATTTTCCTTTTTGATACCTCAAATTTAATTTTAGTGTAAAATTATTGAACAAATATGTTTTTGTATCTAAATTTTATTAGATTGTCGTGCCTACAATTTTTTAAATTTACATATTGGTACAATGTTTAGATTTCACTTGAATCCATGAATACGGATCCACCAATTCTTTGAACCAATTCATGAATCCAATCTACCATAACATAAAAGTATAAATTTAGTTCGTACCATACAAGATGTTTTATCATTCAAGTGTCGGAGATTACTCATTACGTGAAACATTCAATAAATGATAAAAGAGAGACGACTCTAAAATATTGCAAAACTGAATTTATAATCTCATTTAGTTATTTAGGGGGGTACTAAGCAAACTTCTACTAACTACATGTGTCAATAAATTGATACGGTGAAAAGGGTTGACTGTTGTATATTAACGGCCAACTAAAATAGTTGGTCAAAATCTTTCTATCATCTACTTCCTCTTCGTTTCATTTTTCACTCGCCTTCCATAACCCTAATTAGTATACAATTTTTATGTATTCTGATCACAAGCATGAACGAGTCCATACACGACTCACCAACATTTTAGAGAATTAATAATAGAATCATGAACCACTAACTTTTTCAGCTTACTGTACTGTCGAGTCCAATTAAGAATAAACGCCCTTCGGTCGAACTTTCCCCCTCTCCTTTCAATCGAGCATATTGATAACCTCTTTATTTTAATCTTTTCTCCTCTCATCCTTCCGATCGATCAACTTGACACGAAAAAGACTACTCTGGATTCCCACGATTGGCCGAAATCAACAACCTTATAGATCTGGGCATCCGTCCACTGTCAACCATTCATCACCACTATTTTGGGTTGCGCACCTTCCCGAAAAATCAGCTAAAACAAGCTTTCTTCGTTCGTACATCTGTTACAGAAGTGGAAGGATCTGTTGGTAGTTTAACTCAACCTGGAAGAAGCTCTAGAAGGTACCGTACTTAGTACCATAGGATCTTAGCGGAGTGGTCTCTCAGCTCCCTCCTACTCCATGATAGGGTTAGTCAAACAATCAGAATCAGGGTATTCTGAATTGGAAGGGGCAGGCACTGTAATCTCTTTTTAACCCCGTGGGAAACCAACAGTGTAAAATCATTGAACAAATATGTTTTGGTATCTAAATTTTATTAGATTTTCGTACCTATAATTTTTTAAATTTACATATTGGTACAATGTTTAGATTTCACTTGAATCCATGAATACGGATCCACCAATCCTTTTGAACCAATTCATGAATCCAATCTACCATAACATAAAAGTATAAATTTAATTTGTACCATACAAGATGTTTTATCATTCAAGTGTCGGAGATTACTCATTACGTGAAACATTCAATAAATGATAAAAGAGAGACGGCTCTAAAATATTGCAAAACTGAATTTATAAACTCATTTAGTTATTTACGGGGGTATTAAACAAACTTTTACTAACTACATGTGTCAATAAATTGCTACGGTTAAAAGGGTTGACTGTTGTATTAACGGCCAACTAAAATAGTTGGTCAAAATCTTTCCATCATCTACTTCCTCTTCGTTTTATTTTTCACTCGCCTTCCATAACCCTAATTAGTATACAATTTTTATGTATTCTGATCACAAGCATGAACCTGTCCATACACGACTCACCAACATGTTAGAGAATTAATAATAGAACCATGAACCACTAACTTTTTCAGCTTACTGTACTGTCGAGTCCAATTAAGAATAAATATATATGGTTATTACTTATTAGAACGTCATCATTTTCCACTATGAGATTCGAAGGCTTGAAATTTTAAGGGAGTTCCAGTTTGTATTCCTTTTGCTTCTCTCTAGAGTTTTTCTTTGACTAAAATTTTCAACTATAATACATGAAATGTTTAGCTATGTATCTACACATATCAAATAAATAGTTTTCTATTTTCTATAAAAAAGTAAATAATTATCATCTTAATTACATCGCCATAAAAGGAATTAAACTTCAACTATGCAAATTACAGTTCGGTACCTAAACTTGATAGATCTTTAGATTTATAACCTAAATTTATTATTTTGGCATATAAGTGCTCAAAATATTGATGGAACATTACATTTTAGTACCGAAATTTTTTTTTGTGTATTTCATCATTTTCCACTTTGAGATTCGAAGGCGTGAAATTTTAAGGGAGTTCCAGTTTGTATTCCTTTTGCTTCTCTCTAGAGTTTTTCTTTGACTAAAATTTTCAACTATTACACATGGAATGTTTAGCTAGGTATCTACACATATCAAATAAATACTTTCCTATTTTCTATAGAAAAGTAAATAATTATCCTCTTAAATACATCGCCATAAAAGGAATTAAGCCTCAACTATGCAAATTATAGTTCGGTACCTAAACTTTATAGATCTTTAGATTTACCACCTAAATTTATTATTTTAGCATATAAGTCTAATTTTTGTGTATTACATTTTGGCATCTAAACTTTTGAAGTTCTACAAATAGGTCTAATTTTTGTGTGTAATTAAAATGCACTAGAATAAAATGGGTATCCATACCCAAGTCATACACATTTAGATTATGAAAGTAAATATCCATACCCTACCCAAACTCATCAACAACATTCCAAACTCATATATACATCACCCATACGTACCCTACCCATAATCAATGGGTCTACTTGGGTTTAGGTAAATATAATTTGTTAGTCAAAATTTTCAATTTTTTTTAAATCGGATGTTTACCGTTACATATCCTTTCTCAATCAATATTACTAACAAAAATGCTAACAAAAAATTAATTTTAGTCTAATAATACTAACAAAACATCATAACGGGCTATATAATACATGCTTATATTCCATCACCGCCCGCGACAAGACGCGGCATCGCCACCGAGTATGTACTAATTAGGAAGAGAGAAGGACAAGGACACAAAAAAAGAACAAGAACAAAAGAAAAAAAGATAAAACCGATCCAGAGAGGAGCAAGAACAGTTCACCCGCTCAGTAAAACTAGTAAAATAGTTTATTGAAATCCAAATTAATTAAGCACGTCCCTGTGGTACGAAGTTGGTGATCAGTTAACGATCTTATGGGCTCCTGAGATAAACGTCTAAAGTCCTGAATCCCTCTGCTATAGCATCTTGGAACATGTTCAGGTTGACACCGCCATTGAAATCGGAAGCGTAGGTCAAGGTCCATACGACGGTCGAAGCTCGACGGTTGGGACCATCGTTCATCGACAGCGGTTCGACCTTTACGACCAAGGAGGCCGAACGAAAGAACCTGCCCACGAATGCACCATCGGGCTTGAACCTAGATTCAATGGTTCGACTCGTGTGGTCAATCCGGGTGATTTCCTCGGTCGCTCTTGAAACTATACGTGAGATGGCTGCATCATATATATATATATATATAGATAATAATTAATTGCATGTTAAAAACAAAAATATAATAATTAAAAATGATTAATAAGTAGTTACCATGTCCATAAGTGATCTCCCGAATCGAACCGGGTGTAACACCGTCTCGGTTGGTCACCCAGATGTCTTGATACTGCTCATGCATGACCGCCGGGTACACAAATGTGCCACCGCAAATCGCTGTAAACACATCGTTGGCCGACGAAGCCATCAGGATTCTTCTACTACTGTCGATGGACATCATCGGAGAATCGTACGAGCTTGGAATGGATAGGGAATAGAATGGATTTCGACCCATCATCCCTGCCGTTTATATATACTCGATGATCCTATCTTTGAAGCTTCCTTTTAATTTCCGATCGGCCATTGACCTGATAAACAAAGACCCATCATTCCCCGGAATGGGTTAGGGTGATTACTTGTTTTTTAGTAATCACGGTGACCACCTCTTTATATACCATTTGATTAATGATTCTTCCTTCTTTTTTAATCTTACGGTCAAGATTCTTTTAGCTTTAGGATAATTTTGGAAATAAAAAAGTGACCACACCTGATTATTCTATATAATTTACCCAAACCCTAGTTCTATCCTCCCTCCTCCGTCAGCCACCACCGCCTAAAACTTCTCTCCTCCTCGAGAAGTCTCCCTTTTCATCAAATCAACAGACATGGGTACGCCGGAGACATCCAGGGAGCCATGCCCGGACCGCATCCTCGAGGACATCGGCGGCGCTTTCGGCATGGGCGCAGTCGGGAGCTCCGCCTTCCACTTCATCAAAGGGGTTTACAACTCTCCCGTCGGGACTCGCCTCACCGGCGGAACCCAGGCCGTCCGGATGAACGCTCGGCGCCTCGGCGCCTCGGCTATGCGGTAGGGGCTCGGCGCCTCGGCTCGCTCGGCCGCCTTCGGCGGGGTTCTCTTGGCTCTCATCGAAGGTGCTGGGATCATGCTGAATAAGGTCATGAGTGCGCCGCAGAACATGCTGGTGATGATTGAGGAACCCGCCCTGGCTGGTGGGCCGGTCTGCCTGCCGGGTTTCCGGGTATGCAATAGTCGATTTCGCAGGAGTTGCAGTCACAGGGGCAACAGGAGTCGGGTTCATGGCTTGGTGGGAGGTTTGGCGAAGGGAAAAAGACGGCTACTGCCTCAGGTAGTGGAAGTAAAGCAGAGGTACTGGAGAGCTTTGATACAAATACATTCATAATTGACATAAAAACCTAGATCTAGTAATTTTTTGATTATTGATTCAACCATAATGGTATTGATTCAATGTGCAGTGGTATTGGTTACTACGTTATGATAACAACATGATATTCATTCATCTTCGTTTGGTAGTATGACACTTTAGATTGGTATTGGTTCATTACATGTAGCAATGCTAGTCTGGTAGTTCTTCAAAGTCTAATGATATTGGTTCAAACCTCAATGTTCATAATTCTCTTCATATATGCAATGGTATAGATTGTTTATATTGGTAGTTTTCGTGTAATGGTATAGATTTATTTCTGCAATGGTATTGATTGTTTATGGTATAGATTGTTTATATTAGTAGTTTTCGTGTAATGGTATAGATTTATTTCGGCAATGGTAGTTTTCGTGTAATGGTATAGATTTATTTCTGCAATGGTAGTTTTCGTCTAGTGGTTGTCCAATGGATTGGTACTGATTTCGTGTTGTTTTTTTTTTTTCCAGAAAGATTGAGAAAAATATGGAAAGGAGATTTGACTGGAGATTACGGAAGTGAGAGAAAGAGAGAGAATTTTAATTAATAGATTTTTGTAGCTACCTAAAATGTAATTTATTAAAAAATTAATTAATATAATTTATTTTTCGATACCCAATTTACCCTTAGTAACCACAGTGATTACTACTTTTGTAGTAATCACCGTAACCGCTCCCTCATTCCCCTTATAATTAATTATATGCATATTCATCAAGCAAAACGAAACGAAAAGAGGCTCCATTTCCTGTATTAGTCAAAACTAGCACCGGGTCCGGCACGTTGGCCGGGGAGTAATAAGAGCATCCGCAACAACGTAATTGCAAATATTGTTTTTATTGTCATTTCACAATTTTTTAAAAAACCAACTCATTTTAATTTCATTTTAGTTACATTACATCAATACATTTCACTTGCAATTGCAATTGATTTCTTACTACAATTCTAAAAACATAAAACAATCAAATAATAAATCATTTAATTATAGTGTGGTTTGCAACTCATAATTGCATTAGATGCAAACTTGCAAAGATGCAATTGAAAATGAATTTCATTTGATGAACTCATGATACAATCCCCAAACTCGATTTAATTCATAGTCTAGATCGAGATATCTCACTAAGAATATGTGGAGTACAGTATAATCCAGTAGTACACCAGTCTGACCCATATATATATATTCTTAGTGAGATATCTCGATCTAGACTATGAATTAAATCGAGTTTGGGGTATATACTTTGCTCTTTCCTCTAATAGATAACCCCAAACCCCGATTGTCTAAACCGAAACTTGAAGTTCAATTTAATAGAAAATAATAGTTGATCATTGAGATTTGTCGAAACTCATCGAAGTACTAACAGCCAGTTCACCTAGAGTATACTATACTCGTATAATTTACCAGTCTTTACAATATATATCACAAAGGCAAGCATATGCCTTTGTGATATATGCATATTCATCAAGCAAAACGAAACGAAAAGAGGCTCCATTTTACTGTATGTCAAAATATTCAAACTAATATAGTTGTTAAAAAGATTTCAAAGGACATTTGTGCTCGGTTGGTGGATCCAAAATCAATCTGGCCAATAATCAATTTGTTCAACATTAAAATTTAAAGGACTATATATTTTTCGTTTTAAATTAGAATTCAATTCTTTATGGAAAAAAATATATATTAATCATGTTTATCAAAATGACATCCACTTTGAAGGGGAAAAAATAAAGTATATTGTGTAGAGCAAGATTGTCAAACCCTTGCCATCGATTCAACCAGTTAAATTTGGCTCGGGTAAATTTTTGTGTGTGTTTCTATTAGTGGCTGGAGTCCAAGAACTATGTATAGTGATTCAACAAATAGGGACCATAGCGATAGAAATCCTTCAAATTTCTGTTATAGGGGGCACCAATTCTTGAGGGGGTCGTTCTGCTTCCAAAACTCGACCGCTTCCCTATGCATGAACCCTTCACTAACCAGGGACAAAGGCTTGCTCAAGGTATTGAGTATATGAGTGGTGTACTTCTGATTCATCTGATCAAAGGACATCTCCTCTGAGAAAGAAGAGAGGAAAGAAGCAGTTGCTTACTGCTCTTAACTCTAACCCTCTGTTCATCGAAGGTTCAGAAGTCGAGAGAAACTTCTCTCCCTCTGAATCCCCATCACCAGAAGTCGAAAAAAAAGTTTAGGTTTATTATCAGGATTATTCTAGTATTTTCCTATAAATATGTATTCGGTCATTCTTTACGATTAAGCAAAGATTAATCAAAGATTTATCCTCAAATCCTATTCTATTCTCTCTCAATCTCGACTATCCTTCTCCCTCAAAGGCCTAGGCCGTTCTTCCCCAAATCCTCAATTCTTCTCCTAATCTCTAAATTATATTCTCAATCCCTAAATTATCCGGTTACGTAAATCCTTAGGAATCCAAATAAGTGGGTTTCTAACACGTAGTACATAGATTCAATAATAAGATCATCTTCAACCAGAATGCTCAGACGATATGTCAGTTGTCAAGAAAAATTTATGTCATGGTTGTTCTTTCCAACTTATTCTTCTGTCGCTGTCAAATTGGGGGAACGTGTCCAGACACACAAAAATCCATTACTGGGATGTTGTGTCTTCCTTGGTAACTCGCTGATTTCATGAAAGTAACAAAAGAAACCAAGCCAATAAGTATTGAGATCGGAGAGCATAGACCGATGGAAAAGAAAGAAGTCTATTGGCTAGTAGTTGCGATCCATTGGAATATGTTCTCATTTTCGGCGAGTTCATACGACATGAATATATTTGATTTTTACTAAATAGTGTTAGAAATAGAATAGGAAAAATTAGGGTTACCGATCTGGCTGAATCGTGGACTAGGTCGCTCTCTTTAAAACGTTCGCGGAAGATGCGTGGGAGATTGACGAGTTGAAAGCAGCATCCGGCTAGTGATCATGGCCTAATCATTGTCTCATCGACGGCATAAACTTGAGTGTCTAATATACCATTACCAATATAGTATTTACTGTCGTTGTTGGTTTACTGCGACAACAATTTATCGGAAATTCCAAATTTCTACTAAACTTTAACGGAATTGTAACTTGATTTCTTTTTAACAGATATATAGTAGGTTTTCACAAGTCTGCATTACGTAAAATATAATAAGCATTACATAATAGTTGCGTAATATATATGTGCTTATCTTATGGAATAGTTGTAAAATGGCATTAACCTTGCGTTATGTAATCTGTTCAATCATTACGAAATGTTTACATATAACGCTTCTAATTTAACTGTTACGCAAGAAATAACCGTCATTGGTAACCTTTACGTAATAGATGTATATTTACGTAACAGTTGTAAATTGTCATTATGGAAGCCTTAGTAATAGATGGTCTTTTTACATAATGAATATTCAAAGTTACATAATATGTTAAGTTATTACGGAAATCCTACGTAACACTTCAATTTAACTGTTTTATAAGAAATTACCTTCGTTTCGTAACCTTTACGTAATGAACATATATTTTATGTAAAAGTTGTAAAATATCATTACGGAAATCTTATGTAATGAACATGTATTTTATGTAACAGTTGTAAAATATCATTACGGAAGCCTTATGTAATGAACATGTATTTTCTTATTATTCAAGCACTTTGTTGTAGAAATAACCGTCAATGATAACGAAAAGTATTTCGTTGAAAATAAACACAAAACATCAATGTAAAAATGTCTGACTTCAACATTATAAATGACATCAACCTTTTAATAAAGATATTAAAAATCATTAATAACGAATGATCAAGTCACTGATAAGGAAATAGATTTTTCTAATAAAAAAATATTAATAATATTCAGATGCAATGTTTAATGTTAAATAGCACTAAAAACGTATTAATAAGTAACATGTGTTTCATGGATAATGCTTCCACAAACTTTGATAATGATAGCAACTAATGATTGTTAAGACCTTACTGGATATTATTAATATCTTATTTTTCAAATATTGATAATGCTTATACACACCAATTAATAATGACACCAACTATGTTACTAACTTAGACAGAAAGATTAATAACCATAGTTATATCATTAAACGTATATATTTTTTTTTTTTTTTGATGGGTAATCAAAAAATTTCATTAAGCTCAGGCAAGCGCCCATTAAACGTATATTCACTTTTGCTAATGTCATAAAAAAATGAATACCTAGCAAGTATGCTTCTTGATAATGAAATTTGACAAACTTACAAACATAAACGAAAAAATATTAATAATTCAAGTCACTAAACATAAACAATGTTACAAATGAAATAAATTTTTGCTAATGGTTGTATTGTGCTTGGAAAAAAATATTGATAATAGCACTTCAAATGATTACAAATCATTGCGAACCAAATTGATAATACGATGTAATAGTAAATAAACTTCAAGTACCAACAAATTGAAAACACAATTTTACTTTTGCTAATGTTACAAACAAAACATAACATTAAAAGTTAATAATGTCAAATAAAATTATTAAAAATCATGTCGAACAACATTAATAATAACACAAACGAATACCTAACAACGAAAAATCCTAAACCCATGCAACGAAAAGCCCTTATGATAATTCAATTTATAAATATTGATAATGTCATTACAAAATGTTAATACTAATCGGAAGTTGCCAAGCTGTGAGAGAGACATATATTTTAAATTTCAAATTTCCATTTTAGAAAATGAAAATTATTAAATTCGAATTTTATTAAATATTAAATAAAATTAATTTCATATTCCTTTTTAATTTAATGGAGAGAGGGTTATGAAAAAATCATGGGAGAGAGAGAAAGAGAATCATTAATTATATTTGCATAACCCCATTTATCCTTAACTACCTATTAACTACTAACCTCCATTAATTACCTAATCCACTATCTTCCAATAAGAAGGTTTTGAGATTCTTCTTAATAAATGAGGCTTAAGGACTTGAACTCAAGCCGTCCTCGACACAGAAAAAGTC